GAGACTTTATTCTCATTCTTCTTCGACGGAGAGTTGCAACAAGTGCAAGTGCATACTGTCGGTTGATTTGATAGGAGAGTATGACTATGACCAACTGCTCCGACGAGCCGGTAGCCCTGGTCTAATATAAGAGCTGAATACTAAGATGGATGAGAGGAGATATATAAGAAAGCGGGCTGTAAATTTACAGCAGATTTAGACATAGAAAAAAAAATGTGAGACAAACATATAAATAATATATTTATATTGAAGAGCTAACCACTATATAAGTGAGCTGAGAGATAGTCTATAAAGGTCTATACAGTAAACAGCTGGCTGTATTAGGTGGTGTTTGGATACAAGGACTTAACTTTAGTCCCTGTATTTAGACACTAATTTAGAGTATTAAATATAGACTACTTACAAAACTAATTATATAAATGAAAACTAATTCGCGAGACAAATCTTTTAAGCCTAATTAATTTATAATTAGAGAATATTTAATGTAGCATCACATAGACTAATCATGGATTACTTAGGCTCAATAGATTCGTCTCTCGAATTAGTCCAAGATTATATATGTGTTTCATTAATAGTCTATATTTAATATTTATAATTAGTGTCAAACCATCCGATGGGATAGAAACTTAAAAGTTTTAACCCTATCTAAACAGGATATTATTAGCCTTGCTCTAAGACGATTTGATTCGTGTAGGAGTAGTTATTACCAGTAGTTTACTGTTCCCAAGGATCGAAATCTCTCAGCTCTGACCTATTGTAGCTGTACGGAGTAGGTTTTTGTTTGCGTCGTGAGCTCATCCCTTCTCACATCACGCTCATTGTGAACGCAAACTGCCGGAGATATACACCTGGATGCTGGAGTAGAAGTATCTATTCTACGCATGCAATTTATTATTTCTGACCATGACCATGCACGTTAATTACTCGTATCTGCAGCACCAGCGTACTGTCCAAATAGATACGCAAATCAACTTGTCTCAGAGAAACTGAGATGTGATGTATGATCACTGTGCTTTCTCTACTAGTACTCCTACCAGGCTACCACTAGCGCCAGTCAACCCTTCGTATGGACGTTGTGGCCGTATACAGGTATACTCGTATGGAGTAGGAGTATACACATACGAAAAAAAAAGCTCAAATGTACTCCTACCGTATGCTAGCTAGAGCATCCAGGCTGTACTACGTATACCATCACAGCAAAATTTTACTACTGGCGATGTGCACAGAGCACCAAAAACATCCACATCAAGCCGTTGCGTCGTCTGCATGCCGTGAGCTAGCTAGGGCTAAGCTACGACGACTACGCTCTGCGTGTACTTGGCTGCCGCTGGCCGGGTGCGTGGCCAAACATGGAAAAAGAAGCCATGGACGCCCAGCGAGTAATTTTTTTTTTGAACATTCCAGCGAGTAATTGGAGCAGTAACAAAGGCTTTATTTAGTTAGGGAAAATTTTAGATTTGGTTAATGTTACTCCCTTCGTCCCATAATAGAAGGGATTTTGAGTTTTTTTTGCTTGTACTGTTTGACCACTCATCTTATTCAAAAAATTTGTGCAAATATAAAAAACGAAAAGTTGTGCTTAAAGTACTTTGGATAATAAAGTAAGTCAAAAAAATAAATAATAATTTCAAAATTTTTAAATAAGACGAGTAGTCAAACAGTGTAAACAAAAACTCAAGTCCCTTATATTATGGGACGGAAGGAGTATATCGGATATGCATACACGTATTTAAATTAAATTACAGATTTCGCTAGGAAACTACGAGATGAATTTATTAAATCTAATTAATCCGTCATTAGTAAATGTTTACTGTAGCACAACATTGTCAAATCATAACGCAATTAGACTTGAAGGATTCGTCTCACAATTTACACGTAATCTGTGTAATTGTTTTTTTCCTAAATTTAATATTCCATACATGTGTCTAAATATTCGATGTGACAGCATAAAAATTTTTGTTTTCAGGACTAAACAGGGCCTTGAGTGTGTCTATGTGGTGGTTGGTCGTCGTTGTTCTAACAGCAGCAATTGCGAGCAGTAAAAAAGGCTGTGGCCATGACATTATTTGGTAAAAGAATCCGGCGAGCAGAGATCCTCCTGGTGCGTGATACTTTTTTTTTTGAAAAGTTGGTGCGTGATACTAGCTAGCCGTTTTCTTGTGCCCACTGGGGGAGGCTGATGGCCGGCCGGCCGTTCGGCCGGCTGGGCTGCGTGTACTCGTACGTACACAGTGACAGTAGATACAGAGATAATATTATGTGCATGAATATGTTCATTGCAAAGCTCCGCGGCGCCCCACATATATACTGGTCTGACGAGTGTCCGGCCATGCATTGCATGCATGCAGATCGTCGTCGTCTCCCCGGCGGCCAGTAGAGTCAAAGGGCTTTGGCCGGAGCTGCGGCGTTTCTCATAATGGCTTCCTGCTGATGCTGATCAAGATTGGGTTCTTTTTTTTTATTTTTTTTTACTGGTGGACTGGTGTTGTGGTCTCTTGCTCTAGTAGTTGCTACTGCTACTACTGCTACTACCTTTCTGAATGTTTTTGGAGATGTTTAGATGAGAGTTGTAAAGTTTTAGCGTGTCATATCAAGTATTATATAGGATATCGTATAGGGTGTTCGGATACTAATAAAAAAACTAATTACAGAATCCATCAGTAAACCGTGATACGAATTTATTAAGTCTAATTAATCCGTCATTAGCAAATGATTTTTGTGGCACCATATTATTAAATCATGGAGAAATTAGGTTTAAAATATTCATCTCGTAAATGAGTCATAATCTATGTAATTAGTTATTTTTTAACCTATATTTAGTATGTAGATGTTTAATCATTCGATGTGAAAGACTTTGTCCAGGTGGTGGTGAAATACTACTGGGGGGTGGTGGATGGTTGGACCAGTGCATCCGGTTTGTCCCCTTCCATTTGTTCACTTGCATGCACTTCAGTGAAGTGTGTCGTGTGCTTTTAAACAGTGTCTTCACTGTTGGACTGGGTGTAATTGCTCTTTCGTGTGTGTACAATGCAAATAAGTACCTTCATCTGATTATTCAGATGGGAGTTAACATTTATTTGTACCATTTGCATGAGCGCCATTTAATTCTATCTAAAAAAAATAACACCGTTTAATTTGTACTGGATGGCAAGTGCTACCGGCTTGATGGATTCTCATTAATATAATTAAGGTCATCTGTATTCTCTTGTACCTGTTTATGATTATCAGGGCTTGATTGTCTGAACAATTTACTACGGTATATATACGTCGAAGACACGTGACACGAGCAAGGAAAAAATTTAGAACAAGAATTTGATTCTTAAGCTAAAATTGACCAATGAAACATGAAAAATCCTGCGAAATGAGTGGAACTCAACTGATTAGCTTAGATTTTTTGAGATCAAACGTGCCCATCTAGATTGAATTAAGTCTAGACTTGTAATAGGTGCTCACATTTACGACTAATTATTCTTTTAGTGATAGACGGCATACTTATCGACAATAAATTGTTTGTACTGACTTCATCGATCTTAATATATATATATATACCAGCCTAGATTTAGGATACCCTAACATGGATAGAGTGTGAGAGTGTGAGCACGTAACATGACGTTATGTGTTTGTACTGTCTTTTCTTTAAAAAGAATTCCTAAATTAACTGTAAAATTTAGTGTTAAAAAAATCTGAAAATGGCTGTGGATTATAAACCGAAGCTCAACCAATCAAATCTGACAGTACTCCTTTTCGTTTCATAAAAAATAACAAATATAGTACATAATGTGACACATCCTAATACTACAAATCTGAAAGAAAGTCCCATAAAAAACTTTGTATATGAAATGACACATTCTAATACTATGATTCTGGATATATACTTTTTGTTCAGATATGTAGTATTACTGTATTAGAATGTGTCACATTCCGTATTAGTTTTGTTTTTTATGAAATGGAAGGAGTGATGTACTCTCTATTCGACACCTTTGCACTGTACGGGCCCCTTTGAATCGCATGAATGAAAAAACGTAGAAATAGAAAAAACACATGAATAAGAAAAACACAAGATTCTAACATGAATGTAAGTATAAACAGAGGATTGCAAAACACACATGAATGACTGTATGAAAAACATAGGAATCGGATGAGAGAGATAGACAAAAAGGAATTTTTCCAAGAGCTTTAAGCTCTTGCTAAGTTTCCTCCAAAATCCATACATGATTGTCTATTCAATAGGAATTTCAAAAGGTTGGATGATTCAATCTTTTGATTCAAAGAGCATTCATAAGAATTTTTTCTATAGAATTGAAATCCTTCAAAGTTCCTATTTTTCCTCCAAATTAAAGGAGTCCTACATGTTTCAGTGGTATTATTACAAGAACTTCCAAATAACTACTAGTAAAGAATAATGACAGGAAAGCATATGCTCTGTGATATATAAGTCCGCCAATGTCATTTTCGCATGACAAATTCTATAGGTTGAAGTTTGGACCTTTGACCGCATTTGTTCTAACATATCTGGAATTTTAGAAGCATGATATATTAGTGTACGTTGCAGGTAGACTGGGAAAATTTTCCACATATACTATTTCTTAGTATGAGTACTAGTACTTAGATAGTTAGATTGATCCACGTTCTAACACGCGCTATAACTATTGACCTGCGGGGTATATTGACATTAAGCTCGCTTTCTTTTCGCTCGTAAAGAAACTTTCCAAAGCATATGGCATGGTTTTTGAAATTAACATTATTCCGTGGTAGCAATGCAGAAACAAGAGTATACTACCTCTATCACAAAAATATAAATACCTATTATAAAATGAAACACATCTAATTACTACGAATCCGAATAGATTTCTGCATTTATAGATTTATAGTAATAAGATATGCTCCATTCAATATTATAGCCAGAGTGTGAGTTCTTCTTCCGTTTCAAAATATTGCTACCTAATACTCCGTCTAAATTTGTTAGATTAAGAAATATCTCATTGAGGACTAGTAGCAATATATTGAAAGGGGGGAAAGTAGATACTCACACTGTTACTACACAAAATAGGCTCACTCTTCCTACAACGGGACATGCGTTATTTGATTATTTCTCTCTTCGCCGTTCTAAACACATTAAATTCTTCTAATGATGGCCGTATCTCGTGAGCGTAGGGTCGCTCAACCAGTGCCTCGCTAATCCTAGACATGCCCAACGATGCGCAGTATATCAACCACAGAGAGAGGGAGTAGTATAAACCTACACCCCCTCTAGCGTTGAGAGAGAGAGAGAGAGAGGATGTTTTGAGAGAGCACAGCTAGAAGCTTGGCTTCTCGCAACAAGTGCTGCATCTCTAGTGAGCGAGTGAGTGAGAGAGACAGCCTTGGCCTTGGCGTTGGTGGTGTAGCTCCAGCCTCCAAGCATCCATCCATGCTTACATAAGTCAGACAGGGAGGGAGGACCGGAAGGAGGAGGAGAGAAAAAGCGAAGCTTTGGTTCTTTCTTTGCACCACCGGTTGCCTCCGTTGATCTCCTTGTCGATCGCCGGAAGCAAACCGTTGTTGGTGATGGGCAGCGGCGGCGGTGGCTGCGGCAGGAACGGCGCTGTGAGGCAGTACATCAGGTCCAAGGTGCCGAGGCTGAGGTGGACCGGGGAGCTCCACTGCAGCTTCGTCCAAGCCATCGAATTCCTCGGTGGCCAAGACAGTGCGTTTCTTCTTCTTGCTCCTGGCTACGTCCTCTTCATGCACGGCGTTTCATCGTGTATTTGTTTTTCTTTTCTCTGTGTGCATTCGTTGGTAGACTATTTTTCACCCTCTCCAGTCCATGCCTGCATTCCATAGCTATTTATTTTCCATAGCTATTTATTTCCAGGGATTGCTCTTCTTTCAGTTGTGACAGCCATGTTTTATGTTTCCCTCGGTTGTTAGTTTCTTTGATGTCGTCCTAGCTATAGCTTGTTCATGTTGATGTCTTCTTTTTTTCATGAGAGAACAACTTTCTCACAGTACCTTGAATTGTTTTCTGCCTTTCTGTTGCTTGTTACTCTTCGTCCTTTAGGAGTTTAGTATTTTTTTTTTCCTAGCGATCTCTTCGTCAGGCTAACTTGTAAACTTGCTGGTTTGAATTGCAGAGGCTACACCTAAGCTCATTCTTCAGCTCATGGGGGTGAAGGGGCTGACCATATCTCATGTCAAGAGCCACCTCCAGGTTCTTATCCCTTCAGTCTCCTGCAGCCTTCTCTCTCTCTCTCTCTCTCCCAGAGAGCATGCAAATACATAAATTTTGATTTTGTCCATTTATCCTTTTGAAACAGATGTACAGATGCTCCAGGCTCGGCTCCCATGGCACGGGAAGGAGATCAGGTGAGAGATGATTGTTTTTCTTCCATCATTACGTTATTTGGTTCTTCATCCTCCCAAAGCCAGAGGTTTTAATTTGCCTCCCTGTTCCCTGGGGATACGAGATGATAGTAGTTGTGGCAGCAGTAGTTGTTTTTCTAGTGTTATTATGTCAACGCTTTTTGTTGTTTAGTTGGAGTACATTGGTTATAATATTCAGAGGAAAAAGAAGGCTCATGTCCACAGTAGAATGACCATCCAGTTTATTATTATTATTTTTTAACCAAATAGATGCCTTGTTGTTTGTGTGAGCTATTTTTCGGTGTTAATTATGTGGGGGCATCTCTAAACTCCCCTTGCCACATGCCTACTGCGCCATGCAACTAACCAGTCTTACCTTCTCATGGAGTCATGGGGTACCTTCATCATGCAAATCCTCTGTTCAAAAAGATAGGAAGAGCTAGATATATGAGAAAAAGAAATTGTTGTTGCACACTTTAGATGTTGCTAATGGAAAGCCAAACCCCTTTCTTTCATTGTACCATCAGAGATGCAACCACAGCTGCAAAGGAAGCACTCATGTGGTGCTGATGAGCAAGTCCCCAGAGAATTCCTGTGCCCCCCTCTGAAAAGGTTTGGGCCTCAACTTTCCCAACTTTGAATTGTGTTCAAGTTAAAGACAAGCTTTTTGAAGGCCTAATCTTGACACAAAGTCACCTTTTCCCCTTGGGTGTCCATTTACTCTCTTTTTTGGGGTCTTTGGATGAACAGGACCAGGATGGGGACAGAAGCCACATACAAAGGCATGCAAGGAAGCCAAGGAATCAGTGAGATGAGGACTACTGGCACCCAGTACTGCATTGATGATTACATGCAAGCCATGGCAATGGAGAGGAGAATAAAGGAGGAGGGCCTCAGATGGCAGAGGGATGCTGCTGCTGCTGCTGCTGCAGATGGTGGTGCTGCTGCTTCCAACCTCCAAACCGTGGGATGTTCGGTGCAAGAATCTGACCCCTTTAAGGTACATCAGCTGAAAAGAAAAGTTAAAAGAAACATTGGGAAAACTTAATCAAAAGTATCACATTCTCTTGGAATATTAACTGGTTTCACACGCTGACTTACTCATTCTATTCAACCATTTATAAATGGATCTACTGCAATTTAGCTAAGCTCCTACGTACACATTGCATTTGTCAATTTGCCATGCAATATATTAGATTTTTATATATATCTGTAGGGCCCACTTGTCATACATGGATTTGGTCAAGGCGGCAACAAAGTAGTTTGTAAAAAATATTTTTTATTGGGCTGTGCATGTTGTATTGTCTTGACCATACCTATATTTTCTATGTTCCTGATTTTGAATATCTTAGGTTGTTTGACTACTGTACAATCCGTATCCTGCTGCATTTTTAGAATTGTCAGTAAATGTTTGTTCCCTTTATCTTACTACATGTGCAAAACCCAGATAAGCTCATGAATACTTGTAGTAGTAATTTCAGAAGGACAAGGATGCACATGCACTGATATGAGAAGACTGCGAATATAGTCCTTAAAAGTTGAAACCCCCTGTCTTTAACAGTGATGACCCAAATAACTCCAGGCATTTACCTCACATCGCAGTAGTGATTTGTCATTTGTGGTAGTAGCGTTCTGCAGCCTTCAATTGAAAGCCTTCCATGTTGCACCCAGTAGAATTCATGCTGATAAAAGTGCAGACAGAATTAACCCAATTAAGACTTCACTGTGGTTTACCTGAGTCTGAAAAAACTGCTTATATCCTACGGCTTCTGGAACGCATCAATAGCGTAGATGTTGTACGTTACGGCACAGATCTGCCGATCCTTGTGATTTTACTGCAGCAAGGAAAACGATTTTCAGCAGGGTCAAGTCCTGGTAAAAGTTGCACGTTCAAGGAAATAAATTTGATAGTTACTGCATGCGTACTTCTCCTTAGGGCAGCCACAATGTTTATCTATAGGCTCTCTACAAGAGATCCATGTCAGCATATTTTCCTACTTGGAAGAGATTAAATGAAGAGAGAGAGCAAAGCTATCTACTAACCTGGAGATAGTCTATAGAGAAGAGGCAATGGATTAGAGAGCTATAGATACCCATGTAGACATACCATTGAAGTGGTTTACTATTAATCTAATCTATTGCTGAGATGTACATTTTTTATAGATAGCACCTTACTTTATCATTGCGGGTGCTTTTAGACCATACTGTCATCAATGCCCATTATCCTAAGACCATTTTTTGTCATCAATGAAGGAATTTAATCCATCTAAACTGTTGCTTTCATTGGTGTTGTGCAGATCATCAAACCAGAAGTGCACCATCTTGGTCCCGTGTTGAAGCTGCAATGCTCCAAGGTGGAGAACAGTGGATTCATCTCCAGCAGCACCGGCACGGCTGCAAGGGATCAACCGGAGCCGCCGCCGCTGGAGAAATGTTCGCTGTCACTCTCCCTCGGTCCAGACCCCAAATGCATGCCGGCGATCGCCTCGTCGCCGAGCGAAAGCAGCTGCATCCTCTCGTCGTCGTCCAGGAGCTTCAGCGACTGCTCCGGGAACTCAGGTTGTCTTGTTGCCCCGGGTGTGAACTTGGAACTCTCCATGTCCATCTGTGGATCTTAGACCTTGGTTCCAGTAATCCAGTTTTTGTACATCAGTCAGTCTCACATGTCGGTTTTGAACTTTTAATCACCTGCTTCAGTGTTGATACGGTGATACCCTGATCATGTTAGGAAGTTAGCCAATTGCAAGATGTCAGTGTAGGGCCTTGAGTATGCAGTGCAATGATCCTAAATCCTAATTAGCAGTCCACCTCCAGTACGTGTATACAGTATAAGTGGCAAAGTTCTCTAGCTCCATCCAGAGTATCACTGTCGTACTGTTGCTTTCAGGCTTCAGCACCAAAGAACAGAAAAAAGAAAGGCGAGATTCTTGCCGCCTCACAACATCTTTTCCTTTGCCTCCTTTTGTTGATCATGTCAAAGATGGCTTTCCAGAGTAGGGCTCGGCCAATGGTAACATCAAAGTTCTCTTTGTGGATCACATAACTTAGCCAAGTCTAGGGAGAGGATACCTTGTTATTCCTTGGCTCTTTGCAAGTAGTCAAAAGGAAATAAAAGGAGAATATATACAGGAAACCTCACAAGTCCATGTACTAGTAGAGTGCTGCTGCCCATAATGTTGTTCCTAGTTCCTACCACTGACTTTGACAGCTCCTGCAGCTGTGAGAATACCCTGAACAAAGGAGATTCTCTTTTTCCAAAAATCGCCCCTGCATTTCTCCCTTCTGAGCCAGCTCCTCCTTGAGAGCATCCAAAGAAAACATATGGCGATTTTTGGAGGCTACAACAACCTCCTCTTGTTGGTGCCCTCCTCACATTGAGCTACTACTACATGCAGAGCATGCCTCATGCAAGCAGGGTCTCCAGCTGACCTGAGATGCCATGATCACTCCAACAGTCCTACTGCAACAGAACATGCCGGAGGCACAGGTGCAGGAATGATGAACAATCTTTGACCATTCTAGCCTTCACAGAAACATCTTGGTTATCAAGTATTTTCTCTTTGATCTCCCATTGCAAGCTGCAGCACTGCTTTATTGATTGGAGAAGAGTGTGATTGATTGGAGAAGAGAAACAGTCAAGGCATGTACTAGCCGCCGTAGGCGCGCGCGTGTGCAGAGCGTGTAGACACGGAGATTGGATAGAAAGGTGCAAAAGCTAGTCACACAGGACCACTGGCTTGCTGGTCAAAAGAGTAGACAAAACTGAACTATTACTACAAAATACTAGTAGTGTGTAGGGAAAAATGGATGAAACTAAAAGGTGGTAGAGTACTACTGTACTAGCAAGGAAATAACATCATTAGCTTTTGTATTCTTTTCAAAGCTTAAAATCCATTTCCACTACCCAAAAGTGTGAAATTGACAGAGTTTCAGCCGAAGTACGAAGTATTACCATGATGAGGCTGGGGTACGCTGCATCGCAGGGGGGAGAATTACGGTGGACGAAGCAAAAGCTATCACAGGTTTCCTTCGCTGCCTGCCTCTCGAGGATCAGCATCATGCAATGCTTTGTGAACTGGCCATTACTAAGATAAAGTTGTGGGAACGATAGCAGGGTCATCATATCCCAACAAGCTTTCTGGGCTTTGACAATGAAGGGCACTGAAAAGGTGACAAGAAGCTAAACTCCAAGAACAGGAAAGAATTCTGGGCTTTTAGCACTGACCTTCCCAAAGCGATCTGTCTTACTGAATGCCATATCATAATGGTTGGGCAATCATATTTGTTAGGATCAATTTGTTCTCCTAACCATATCTTGATTGTAGTAGAAATCAGTAATCCTCTGGAAAAGGCAGATTTATCTGCTACAGCTCGCATCCGTAGTAGTGCGTAGAGAACTTGAAAACTTCAGCAACATTTCACTTCACTGTTGCTTCTGCGCCGCACATGAAAATGTACACTATTCAGAGCGTTAGGCACAACGTATGATGCTTAATATGCAGAGAATTGTAGCGTGTTTAATGGGGCCATCTGAATACCTGACCGAAGCAAGTTCCGTCATTTCTCATCATGGATGAGTGGAAACTGGAAAGACATAGCCTTAGTCCTGCAGGCAAATATTGACATATTTGTTGTTTTCTCCATGGAGTTTTTCGACTTTGCTGCTTGGATTCTTCAGTCATTCAACCTGTAAATACCTTGTTAAACTTGAAGTACAAGGTGGAGGCAATGCCACCCCATGAGATTTGAGATCCACTAGTGGCACTGAATTTCCACCAGCTGATTATGCAGAAGCTGCCGCCATTTTGGAAATGCTTCATGCATCAAAACTTACAGATATCAGTCAGCATCAGCATCATTCTTTTGTGCTACCTTTGCTCTGGATCTCTGTTAACGACCAAATTTAGTAATATCAGCATCGGAAAAGGAGATTAGATCGAGGTGGAGTCGAAGGCGGAGATTGATCCGAGAACAGAGCAAGAATCGGCTAAAGTCCAGATCGGCTACGATTAGGATCGGCTGGGTCTGAGTCGGACTAGGTAAGCCGATGCAGCCGATTCTGACAGTATAATTTGGTGTATGACATCGGGTTGAATTGAGGTGCTTCAAGATGATTGCCGCACATGTATAGAGTCCTGAGAAGGCAATTGTATCTATTAATTAGAATGTTTTATGTAACTTCCTTAGAGATATGTTTGGGTAAAAGTCTGCCGCAAAGACTTATGGTATCTTAAAGTTTGTTAGAGATAGTGGTCGTGTCCGGTATGGACATATCTTGTAATTCTCGGGTATAAATAGACCCCGAGCCCTATGTAATTTTTAACACATACGTTCAATACAATTTCGGCGCATCGCCACCTTTTTGCTTTAGTTTTGTTTCGATGAGTTCTTACTTTCGGGTTGAGCTGCATCGGTTTCGATCTTCAACAAGAGGTAAAACTTGTTATGACGACTTGTGTTCTCGAGATTAGTGCTTCCATCTTTATGACACTCTAATCTTGTCTATATAATTCGTCGAGTTATCATATATCTTACATAATCTTTGGCAATATCGTCATGTAACCTACAATCGGCTAACATCTGTTAATAGAAGGTAGCCGATTAGGTTAAATGCGACGTTGTCCTAGATTATATAAAATATCTACCACTTTATGAAACATCCAGTGGCTTGATTGTCTAGATATTGTTTTTCTTTTCATACTTGATGCTGCATCAGTTGAGTTTGATCTATTAAGTCGTGCTTAGAATATCAATCTCTAGCCTGTCCTCTGGTTGCCGATTAGGGTAGTATCGGAGTTTCAGCCGATCTTATCTGATTTAACCATATTTGATCTATGTGCTTTAGTGACATGTTAAATCCGCCCTTTATGTCAAGATCTTATTGCATTTAAGTATATTAAGCTTTTGTTTGGTATATTATATTTGTTTTGATATCTTTATATAAAGTAGTATCGGAGTATTAGCCGATACATGCTAGATCTATCTGATCGGCCATGCTATAAATATATATAATCCTGTTATTAATATATATTTCGATCTAAGTGATTTATACTGTCTCGGCATGGTGACCGATCTATCCCAATCACTTGATTTAAGTATATATTAATATAAGAACTATATATCGTTAATATCTACAGCCGATCGAATAGATTTAGTTCCTTACTATCTATTTATAACCGCCGATCGATTCATAAACGACATCGGCTCAAAGATAAATGATATGTCATCGGCACCTAGCCGATCAGCTATCATTTATAGATTTAACCACGAATTCTTTGTCTCTATTTCTTGTTAATTACAGGATCAAATCAACTGGCACGCTCATACATTCGAAGGCGAGCTTTGGACCTGCACTGGAGTTAAGCAGATCCCCCAGGCCTCGTGTTTTCTGTCAACAATCTCTCTTTCATTCATGTACCTCAAAACTTTAGCCATGGTTAAAACTTATGATCACCCTTAAGAATAGCTTTGCCGTAATAACAATATCGCAAAGGTAACTCAACTAAGATGATACTACTATTAAATGTATGTCCGCAATAATTACGACATGTGAGCTCTACTTTGCTAGAGGTGAAGCATGGCACTGAAGGAAATTCGACTAGCAATGGTAGTGCATAGTTTCTCCTGCTTTAGTTAATTTACATGGAACACATGCACATATCACAGCATACAGACGCAAATGCTTTACGTATAGACAATGATGTTGTCATAATTTACACAAGAGATGTGCACAAAGTCTAATCCTGACCTGTTAATTCTGAGCTGAAGGACTCTGAAGTGGGCCGGCCGGCGTGATGCATAGATGATGGATGGAACTGACAACACTGAAGAATGAAAGTTGCCACTTACTACAGAAAGAGAGGACAATCAGAAGCTCGTTTGCTAAACGACATTAGGGTGTGTTCTCTAGTCTGGCAGTTGTAAAAGACAAGGCAACAGTGCCAAAAGGTACCAGCTAGCTTGCAAAAGCTGAAGAACCATGCAGCTGAACGTCATTTCCTAATACAATTAGCACGCCATTTGCAGATCATGATGGAATTATCTGTCCGGTTCAGAACATTTGCAGAGCTCAGTAATTACCAATTCCCTTACAACAAAGCAAGCGCAGTTTACACCTTGATGACACAGATAGCACAGCAGCAGAAAGGCAAGTTTTTCATAACAAACACTTACGGTTCACACATGTTTTCAGAATGTTATTGCTTGTTATCACGAGGTTTGGGACTTCAGTGGTGCGCCAGTTTTTATCATAAGATTCTGGAAGGTTATTCGAGACATAATCAACAGACTAAGCTGCACAATCAAGCCATAGCATTTTTGCAAACAAACAATTTACCATGCTATGGAACAAAATCTACCAAGCCATAGTATTTTACCATTGAATGAAATGAGTTGGGGAGTTGAGGAAGCTAAGTTTGATGGAGAACATCAACATGACCTGGTAGAGATCAAATCAAGCTATAACATTTTGCATCTAAAACTATTAATCTTCTAACTTACAAGGACAGGTGAGTATCACCACATTGCTAACTCCACGTTTGTAGAATCTTTACTGTTCCCTCGAAATCATTGTGGGGCTACAAACATGCCTACTGTTGTAAATTCAGACACTACATGGCTACATGCTACTCTAAACATGCCTATCTGCTGTAAAAACAGCAATTAACCAATATGAAAAATGCAGGATGTAACTGCAATTCTGAAACCAATGGCATGGGACTGCATATTCATTCTTCCCTTCAGTATAAACATCAAGATAAACCACTGATATTCTACTGACAAAATTTGCAGCCTCGTTCTATTGCATTTATTCTTAATTGCAATACCAACACTCCAACAGACGCCAGTTATACAGGTTAAGAAAGAACCATAGACAATATACAGGCTAACATAAACAACAACCAATGTATCACAAATCAACCCACAACCCTAGATGCCTTAACAATAAAAGTATAGAACAACCAGACATGCTCTGCATCATTCACAGTTTCACACCTCTCTGCATTAATACAGCATTTATATAGCATCATAACATTGAGCTTGAAGTTCCAAATGGAGGCATAAACTTTTAATCATTCTCAATACACATCTAGATATCCATAAGCCGACATTATCAAGCTAGCTAATCCAACAGATTCTTACTCTCAAGTTTCATTCAGATAAAACCCATGCAGATATAAATCCCTAAAACAACTGCTAACCTCAACCCAGTAGATTGGATTCATTGGAACATATGCAGCTAATACAGTTAATTGTTCGGAATTAAAAGCTCAGGTTAGGCGCGTATCTCGTCAGCGCTTGCCTCCCCACGACCACCGCGCCGGCCATGAGCCCCCCGACGGAGCTGCCGACGATCGCCGCCCGCGGGCCGGCAGCCGCGCGGTAGAGCGCGCCGGTACCGATCCCGGCGGCGACGGTGTTGGCCCAGCCGTCGGCGTCGCGGAGGCCCCCCACGGTGCTCTCGATCCCCACGAAGAGCAGCGCGACGACGCCGAGCCGGTTGCCGTACGCGCGCCCGAGGGAGCCGCACTGGTTGAGGACGCGGCTGCCCCCGCAGCTTCATCGACTCGCCGCGCTCCGCCTCCTCCGCCGCGCGCTTCAGCCCCGCGGCCGCCCCCGCCGCCCGGCCGACGAGGTAGCCGCAGCCGGTGTAGAACGTGAGGTCCTCGCCACAGGTGCGGCGGCTGCGGAGCGCCTCCTCGTGGAACAGGAACTCCGGCGAGGTCGGCAGGTCGTAGAGCTCGCGGAACGAGATGGTGAGGCCCTCCGGCTGGTCCGGCTTGTACGTGCGCCGGGACGGCCGGCGATCGCCGTAGGCGGGCTGGTCGGCGGCAGCCATGGCGGCGAGAGGTGGGTCGGTTTGGGGTTTCGTAGACAGTAGGCTTGGGCCTTGTTCATCTTATTACTACGTACCTTGTTATGTGGGCCTTGTGTGATAATGGGCTTTTAGGCCCATACAGATCCAATTCAGCCAAACCTGTCCATTTGGCAATTTCTGCAACCTCCTAATAACTTACTCAGTACCAAAAATTGTGAATTACTAATTTAGCTTTTGTAATTGATAAATTAAATTGTTTTTATCTCCTTGTGAATAATTTGGTGTGGATCTAGCTGTAGTGGTAGATTGCTACTAGAAGGTTAATTTCTACATCTCATATCACTGTCGACGAAAATTTACGACGTTGATGTGCTCAACCAAAAAGGCCATCCCATGTCGCATTCTTCACAGCACCAAAGTAACATTCTGGTCTAGGATACAAGTCTTTAATTGTTTATCTAGTACAGAGCCTAGAAAGCTAACCACATGTCCACATCCACTTCAACTTTGAAGCGGTGCCTGCCGGCCTAAAAAAGGTTCAGCAAATAATTTAATTCATGGGTACAGAATAGGGCAACGATGGACCATACTACAGTACCAAATTATTCCTGCCAATGCTAATCCAGAATCAAAATATCTAAGCATAGCAAGTACCACTCGTGACCCCTTTTTAATCACCCTTGTGATCAGCAAGAATGCATACAAAAACCATCAGCTCGATCTTCACAAAAGGTGTGTGCAATTTCTTTGGAGTATGACCTTATGGCCATTGGCCAAGCATCGCAACCACCATGGCGTATCATAGTATTCATATGTGCGTGTGTTTCTGCTCACCAATCGCACAATTCTTGATTACTTTCGTCTACGTAACACGATGTTTTTGTTTTCACGTCAAGATTAGTTATTACGATGCATTGGACCGATCAGATCGAATCAGATCGTGCCGACAATTAGTTTTCGTGGCGTGCAAAGATTCGGAGTTCAGATTATTGGTGAGCAATGTTGAATTTGGCCAGGAGGATGGGAGCAAATTGGGCGCCACCATGACCGTGCGTTCTGACAAGGTCTAATCATGGTACTAACAATGAACAAATTGGGTTAATTTGTGCCTGGATTCTCGCTGATTCCGTGTGCATATTGTTGGCACCTGTACGACGCGTCCAATCAGCTAACCACGCGATTAATTATCTCTTTTAATTATACTCTTGTCGTGTTTGCAGCATCAGGAGTACTAGGGAGCATATTTTTCTAGTACAAATCAAGCTAGTACTGCAACTATCCAACCATGTAGAGACATTGGTGCGATGCTATCTAAATCTGAAAGTGTGAAATTGAGTAACAAATAGTACATATGAATTTGAGCACAAACTGAACATATTTGTTCTTTGTGAGAAAGGAACATATATATATCGGTTGCATTCACATCAGAATGGTCAGCGAAAAGCTTAACAAGGATCACGAAATTAGTGATGGGAGTAGGTATGTAAAATCAATCAGCAGCTGCTCAGTTAAGTTGTTTAGTACAGAAGTGGATACTGGATCTTTTATGAGGTACTACCACTATTACTTTTTCTTTGAGAGGATGTCACTAATATTTGTGCGATCTTGAAGAATGATATAAATGAATGATAATATATACCAGGCAGTTGTACCGTACACAATGATTTGGTATCATATATAGAGTGGCTATCATTTGGAAATGAGGATTACCGAGAAACACTAGTACTATATATTAGTACGCTCAGTAGACGTACATACTAATTAGAGCTGTAAAGGCACACCTACGTACGTGCATAGAAGAACTACCCTAAATCCTAATAAGAACATTAAGAACATAAGAAAATTGGCGACTGGGAATCACAAGGTGTTAGTAATGGACATCTCTACTGTCCACCTACGCCCTACGGTTTGGTTAAGTTTACCATATCGATGGTCTACTTGCAATTTTCTACTAGAAATTAAGGAATAACATGTACGTGGCTCAACCAGGGAACATACGAACTCCCTATATATAAAGAGCCATGCTATATATGGCTACTTGGGCATTGGCAAAGAAGGCAATTTCAGGTCTACACGATAAAAGATCAGGCTAGCTAGCAAATCAAGTAGCTGAAGTATCTAGCTAGAGGGCTAGAACTTGAAGATGGAGAAAGAAGAAGAGGACATGGTTTGGTATTGTTTCGGCTCATGTCGTTCACACAGATGTGAGCCGAACCAATATCACTCATGTATTCTTCATTCAGAGAACTTCTGTCTGAATTCAAGCATGTTAGCTTTGAGCGATTCATTGTATGCGCTGGTAAGTGCTATAAGGTTTTTTGGTAAGTTTTAGATCTGGTGTTCAATGATTCTTTGAGGAGAAAGCACTTTTAAATAGAGATTATTTGAAGGAAAAGGTATGCATGTCTACAGTTTGAGCATAAGAGAAGCTAATCTCGCAAAAGAAGAGAAACCAATCTTTCTGATTTCTGAGGATTATTGATCCATTTGTCATATACTCTTGTTCTACTCTGAGATTTCATGGAGGTTGAAGAGGTTCATATATATATGGAAAATATATGTGACTTCTTTATGATAAGTTTATGACAGATAACCAATAATGCTTATGAATTAAAGAAGGTGGTTTAGCATTTCTATCAGCAGCGCAGCAGTAATTTTCTCTACAGTATATGTAATGATTTGGAGTTTTGGATGTCAGAGATTGTGTAACTCCGGTAGTTTTTGAGGTTTGGGGCTATGAAGACAAACCCGGCCTTGAATGTTCATATGTTCATTTCAAGCACTGCATATTTGTTCAATAAAATACAGAGTAGGTCTTATATAAACAGCAGCTTGAACTTGAACGCATTCTTTTCTCAATAAGAAAGTGTAAACTCCCGGCCATTCTTGGATGCCATATCTACCTTTTTATATTTGATCTAATGTTATTTACGGTATTTCTACAATGAATTCCAAATTTGGTACCTGGGACCTTTAACATCAGTTTGTTTACAGCTCCAATGAGAATTAATTCTTGTTTCACTTTCACCCCAGATGTGCTAGGAGAAAGAGAACCAATTTACAGGTATAAAAGTTTGTTTCTTCCATGACTTGTCACCTTCTTTTAGGAGTACAAAAATTACAGGCAGTATGTTTCAACGGAGTTACTAGCTCGATCGTGACTCCGATTCGGTGATTCCTGATTACCAACAGATTCAGAAAGGTGATTTCAAAAGTTTAGTCAAGATCTCTCATGGACGCTAACTCATCCTGTCATCCAGCTGTCCATAGATATACACTGATGTACTCTGCCTCGCTATTCCCAAGTCTGATCCAATTACACATTGTCAAGCTACTACCTGGGATGCCCTTTTGGAGTTTAGTGGCTGTCAATTATACACATCATAAACCCAGTGCCATAGATTTGCTTATATTAACAAACCTGCTTGCATTTCCACGTAGTTTGCATGCGCCGTGCATCCTTCTGACTCGTCACCGGCGCATGTGTTGGTCATTACAAATTATCAGGTTTATACTTTTGTCATATGACGCATGCCTCATGTTAGAACCATGACATGGGACTTTTCTATCTCTACACGCTATTGTTTGGTGTTCACGCTTCCATCAGCACAGTTTTTTAAGCACTGGGAGTCATCAGAAAGATGAACAGCTTTCAGGCGCTCAGAATGATCCACACTTGAAATTCAGACAGAACTACAGTAACAACAGAAAGTCACAACTCTCCTGCGTAACACAACACATTACTCAATCACAGCTTTGATTTACCAGGCCATGTCTCAGATTACAGCTATACAATAGTAACATGCATTCCCAGTCACGTCAATTTTTTTTTCCTTTTAATTGGATGTTTGAAGTTCATTCCTAGCCTCGTATTTTCCACAAAACCACTATTCTATCAAGTGAAAACTCCATACAATGCTCAAACTCTAAAGATCACTATTACTTCAGGAAAGTTCATACAAGGAACTACTGTCTTCAGGTAAGTTCATGCTCTGCGATGGTAGCAGACTAGCAGTGTGTTCCTCCTTTCCGAAATGAAAGGAAACGAGAAGCCTCAGCAGCGTGCTCTAGTGATGCATATTCAGAAACAGACAATTGTACAAACATACCTGTGTCACCGAGGGTGCAAAATGTGAACTGATTGAGCAGACCAAAGGGATGCACCTCTTCTTACTAGCAGTACAATCAAAGGCAGAACATGCTGTCATCAAATTGTTGTAAAAGGCAAGCTAGCCACAGAAGATAAAGGGGATACTTGAGCTTTGGTTAAAAACGATTTCCCATTAGAAATAGAAGCAGCCCATATCTTTGTTGATCATCAAGGAATGATACTCATTGTAGTTAAGATACCCCCAGAAACGATAAAGACCAATCTCCCCATATTTCGAAGACTTCAAATGCAAAATATACAAATCTTTGATATTACCCTCAAACTTCGTTCTAATAGCGTCCACCTGTTTTGAAAAAGTAGAAAGTGATTAAAAGAACGTGATATATAGAACCTACTGGTAGATGATAGGAAGAAATGGTAAGTCTCTGTTGCGCTGCAACTTTCAGTAGCATATCTCAGCAAGACAGCTACCAGCGATAGAACAAATCAGCTACTATGTGAACGAAATAGCGAAGTATACATGCAGCATGACGAAACAGTAAGGTCCAATATTACTGGATGTGGGCACTTAAGGATGTCAGATGTTAACGAATAGGATAAATTACTGGATTCAGAACTATATTTCAACATTTTAAGGATGTTAAATCGAAAAAAATAAAAAATGATGACAGTCCATTCGTGTATCATTTGATAAATCTTCGCTCTTCATACATTTTGTCAAAGTACAGATTACTTGCCAGAATACAATTCAGTAGTTAAGCAAATCAAATATCAAAGCACATAGTCCAAATATTCTTTCATCTCTGCATTTGAAATATAGAGAATACCTGAGAGAAATTTATAAGAGAATCCAGATTAAGTTGTTTTACTGTTGACTCAGAAATGTAATTGAGGCTCTTAAAACATGACCGCAACTCCAAAGCTTGTTGTAGAATGCTATTAATTATGGCAGCAATTGGTTTTGTTTCAGCAGATAAGAAACATCTGAACATTAGAATAACGACCAATTAGAATAACCTGTAAGTTTTGTGCATCAGAAAAATAATCTTTCCATAACACAAAAGGTCTTACATGTGAAGCGCATCAGTAACATAACATAGATGCACATACTCGAGATCCAGCATATCTCTCACCTAATCAATAATTGAAGATCATCAATCCACTAGTTTCCTTCCAGCAGAAGTAAAATTATGATATAAAAAACATGTTACAGGACAAAATCATCACAGGACAGTGTAGCAATCATTTTATGTTTAATATGGAAACAGCTTTAGTATCGTATTTACAGGAATGTATACCTGATGTTGAAGTGAATGTTGAAAACGGCGCCATGATATATCAGACAAATGGCAATGGAGATACTGTTGTAGTGTTGATAGAAAGTGATAAACTTGATGTCTGAATAAACAGAAAAGAGTTGTTAATGCCAAGAAACATACTGATAAAAACCAAATATTCCAGAGATATTTGACACAGTGATGACTATCAACGGAAGAGTAAAGATGAATTGGAACCTACCAGGCAACAGAAAAGTTGGTTTGTTAATCTGCAATAGTTAGAACAGTTCTAGTGCTCCCAAAAAGACCACTAATTATAATATCATACAGCTTTGACCCCTAGTTTATATTGTCATACATCTACAAAACCTAGTGATATTACAATGCTATGGTAGTGCTTTTTGACAAAAAATATGCACTTCTTAATTTCATATCTGTAATATGAACATTCAAATTATGAACTTAGACAGCCAAAGCTAAATATGTTTGGCCTTATATTTCTTTTACTTGAAGTAAGTCATTCAGTGTTCAAAAAATTGCTGATTGGTGGATGTTTTGAACATTTGATTACTCAAATAAAAATAGTGTTCTCGTGGATAGAGTCTACCTATTGAGAACTCCAATGCTCCCAAAAGGCCTGGTGCTCTCATGCTTTGAACATACAAAGTGTTATCTAGTAATTTTTAGTTTGGAAAAAAACGGAGGTGTGCAAAATGATGGTATTTACAAACATGCCAAAATTCGTCTCAACAATCTTGATAGAATAAAAGTGCTGGTTCAGGCAATTTTTATGTACAATGTGTTCTGAATCGAAATTTTGCATAACTCTATGATCCGCGATGCCACACATATCTCTTTATTTTTGGATTGTCTATATACCATTTGATAGAATACTCCCCTAGAAATCTTGCAGATTCTGGACCACCCGACTGCTTTAAGAATCGTGCAAAGCAACTAAACCCTACAAAAACTCATCATCCCCTTTTTCCCGACTCCCCTCACGCCGCTGCCACTAACCAGGGCGAGTTCGCGACCCATCCCGTCTCGACCGTGCTGCCGCCCGGCCTCACCGGTTGGCTAGAAGGCGTCAACGGCGCTGCCCTGGCTGGCCTCCTCCCCCTCCCTCTCCTCTCCTTTTCCTCAAGCCACTGGCGGTGAGCTGCCCCCACGCCATCGTCTTCCTCGTCTCCAGCGGTTCCCCGCCACCAGATTTGCCACCACCGGCCACCTCTCCTAACCAGTCCTGTCTTTCCCCCACCGCTCGCTTACGATCCCATGGCTTCAGCGGCGCCGCCGCCCTATGTCACAAAAGCTCCCAGATCAATGTGACGAGGAACAGGATCGAGGAAAGCGGGACGCTACTTTTTTGATGTTTTAACATGGGGGGAACGAGATTATTCCCGCGTTCCCGGGACGAGGAAGTTGGCATAGTTCCACGTTCCCGGTGACTTAGCTGCAGCCGCCTCACCGCCCGCCCAATCCACCACCCACCGCCGAGCTGCCGCCTCCCACGGCCATCTCTCTAAAGCCGAAGAACTCCCCCCACCCTTCTCCCACCCTAACCCCAACTACCGGACCCTAATCCATAGGTCCCCACTGAAGTTTGGGGGTGCTGCCGGCACCGGAGAAGAAGATGAGGTCGCCGGAGCTGAAGAAGGGCAGGAGCACGAATCACAAAGTACATCCGATGGCCCAAAATCTGCATGATTTGAAGGCAGATTTTCTGGCGAATGACATTTAGTAATTCCCTTTTTTTTACACACAAATGACAATTTGATAGCACTTATGTGTGCTGGGAGCACAGGAGACCAGTCTTTTGGAAGCACTATAATTGTTCTCCATCAAACACCACTTATTCACTTATTTGTCACTTTGAACTGTGTATTTGCTAATTCTAATGCTTGGAAATGTTATGCTGTAGAAACAGAGTTTTGAAATAAAACTGCAGTGAATGCTTTACAAAAAAACTACATTACTCTGTCAAATTTAGCTCTTTCAAGTATCATGTTGGAAGTAGGTTTGACTTTGATGAGCTAATGCTAAACATGCTGAATAAATAATTTATATAAAATATTGAAAATAATTACTTTTGTTATGGGCCTTATGGCATGTAAAGTAAATGCCTAAATACTGCAAGTTCGATAAAATCCCAGAAACTTAAAGTTTTAACAACATAACAAACAGTTCAGGATTTTGAATAGAACACGCATTGAGTTTGTAATATTTCAGTGAGTGGTGCCAATTGCCAAATTGTTTATAGGAATGTACGGTTGGACGCCACAAAATTGTAGGAAGACTTTTTGATATTGGTACCTCAGTTTCATCACAGAACTCAATTCCTTTAAAACATCAGGTCTATTATGGCTGGAACGACTGATTAACTGTGTTAACTCCTGAAATCAGTTTGCACAAGACAATCTTAGCATATATAACAAATGTATTACATGAAAAAAAAAGGGGATCTCATGCAAATATATGTACTGCATCTATTAAGAGAACAAACAAAGTATCATTTATAATCCATTCAACTACTGATATTTAATAAATGCTAGTTCACTATCACTTAATACAGCACTACAGGTACTATATAATGGCTTCTGTCAAGAAGTGGGGAAAAGGTTCTGGGATTTACATCCAAATGAAAAGGTGCTATAAGAAAACATTGAAGGAGAAAAGTACCTTCAGAAATCGCCACACTTCAGTCAGAGAAAACACTGCAAGCCTAACCTGAACAAGATACCGAAATATTTCAGCATATGTTTTAAGTGCCTCCTCTGTAATGACGATGTTCACTGGCCAATCAACTTTATAGCCCAATAAGATGTCGTCCAGCACATCAAGACCTGGCAGTGAAAACTTGGGCAGTTAATAATCTGAGCAATCAAGCCCCAAGGAACTGTAGCCCAAGATAATCCAAGATGAAATCATTATTACCACATGTAGAGGCTTTAAGAGAAACAACTGGTTGCTCATTCATATATACAAACAACCTTTCCTTATAAGGGTCAGAATCGCATGAAGACCTCTGCAAAGCCAAGTCAAGAAGCCCTTGGATCTCTGCTCTTTTGTGCTCAGACTTGACAAAGGACCACTTCTGCACAGAGGAAGTTCAAAATTGCAAGGACTTTCTGGTGCTGATAAACATGAGTACATGACCAATTGTCTAAAACACAATGGTTGGAGAATGATACCTTTTTATAAATAGAAACAATAAAAGAATCTGCCCAATCAGCCAGTTCCATAAAATGGTAACGCCGCAGTGCTTGTAAGTGTCCACAAAGATCAAAACCATCCTCAAGCAACTTCATCGTGAAGCTGCTTACATATTTATATCTTGTACAGTTAAGGATCAGGAGGAAAAACCCATAGAAACTCTTTAGCTCTCTTTGACTTTAGTACATTCTAATCCTCTGGAAATATTCTTTAATATAATTATAACCTTGGGGATTCCTCTACTATTTTCCAACAAAAAAATCTGAAAGAACTTTCCACTGAAATTTAATGGTTCGAGTTTTAGAGTCCGTAGATCATGTTTTCCAACACTAACTAAACTGCACTAGCATTTTATCACATCCTTCATATGGGTTGTTTCCATATGTGAACCCACAATTGGTAAACAAGACAAATGGGCTAGCAAAACATACTGGTTATGTAATAAACTGTGACCAGACCAAATTAGACAAGAAAGAGAGAATATTAGCAGGCCTCTGGAGTTTTCCTTCAAAATGCATTTATAGCATCATGCAATACCAAAAATTTCACAAGAAAATGAGGTACCAAAACGCTAGAACAAGGAAAAATATAGTTCAAAACTATAATAAATTAAAACAAGAAAAAAATAATGCCCAGACTTGAAAAGAATACCAGCAGCAATATACCAAGACAAAATTGTAGGAAAACCACAAGGATACTGCAGCAAAACTTCTTGTATAATGCACTTGTCAATAGCTATATCAAGTGGCATATCAGATGATGAAGTGGTATCTCCAGCTATTTCCATTGATTTAGCAGTGTACTCTAATGATTTCTCCCAGAATGCCCCACCCGAAGGATTTTCTAGAAGATTTGTTTGTGCTGAGATGTCTCCTGGGGAAGTAAGATAAGCATGACTTGTTGTCTTCGATTGAAGAAGCTTGCTGGAACAATCAAACTGTTTAGAAGCCTGAGCATTGGACTGTACAGCCATTGCAGATCTGACTTCAAACTCATCAAGGGAAGAAGTACTTCTCCCACAATATGCTTCACATGGATTAGTTACTGACTCAAAATTAAAGCCAATAAGTGCTTGGTTCTTCCTATTTCCATGCAAGTCATGCTCCGTATGACAAGAAACCGCATTCTTCACTATTGGATTAATGCTAAAATTGTAAGGAATGTTAGTATTCCATGGTTGCTTTATATTGATAGATTTTTCATCGTTATCCCTATTTGGCAGTCTAGGAGACCCTGATTCAGAGTGTCGACAAACAACATTGGCATGTGATACTTGCTCTGCACCTTTATCTCCTGTATATAAGAACTCTTCAGCCAAACTCATTTTTCCAGAGGATATATCGAATGAATTCTTCAAGAAACTGTCGAATGGCCAAAATTCACTGTATTGATTGTCCAGTTCCAAAGCATCACAGACCACGTCATGTTCTATACTCTGCGAGTGCATAGGAACATGTCCATAACTCAAGTCGTCCTTTTTCTTGTTCTCATTGATAGGGCTAGCAGGATTAATCCCATCAGAAACAGAACAGGTTTCATATGAAAGTAACTTTGTGGTTACAGATGAGCATTTTGCTTCACCTGAACTTGCACGGTACGATGAGAACATCGAGCTAGGCATATTATCACAAGCAGTATCAATCTCATCTTCAATATCATCAATAGAACTATATGATGAAGATGATTCCGATGATTCTAATGCATCCACTTTATCTGAAGATTCTTGTGATGTTGAAGAAGCATCATTATCTTTAAGCTCTGCAACCCTAACATTACAGAGGACAAGAAAAAAAGACAAATCAGACTACAAGAAGTGTGGTACAGACTTATGATCTCCTATGTCTAGTTGTTTGCAAGCATAGACATATCGAATAAAATATGCACAATGAACCACAGAAGAAATGAATGGAAGATGAATATTCAAAAACAGCTAGCCATTGCAATAAAGGTATATCCACAACATACACATTGCAAGCTGGTAGAGCATTTGTGCCATGATAGAACAGCTCCACATCTGAAACAGCTGTATCTAGAGGGCTTGTACTTATATGCAGAACATTCAGTGCCGCATCAAAAGGAATTACCTGAAAACCAGCCTTTTGTCAAATGAATAATTCAAAACATGGTTGTAAACAGAAGCAAAGGTAGCATGAAATGTCCATTTGAGGGAAAAGCTCAAGCTTCAGTGCTGACAGCAAAGTTTCAACATAAAATATGCAAGCCCTTTTAGGAAGCAAATGTTCTTGCTTCTCTTAGAGCAAAAGAGAGCCTCACATATATAATTAGTCAAATGCAGTAACTGAAAATAGACTGTAATTCAGTATGTGTAACTAGACCTCAACATTTGAGAAAAAGTGATGGAGCTTCTCTATCATTGACTTGTACATAGCATCTCTTTGACATATTACTGCTTCCACCCTACTTTTTGAGAAAGTGAATGAATTCATTGAAGACTCGATGGACGTATCAAACCATGGGAGAATTTCCTCCAGATGAATGATGTGACGAGATGCATGAGCATCTCCTCCAGTGTCAGAAAGATTACACGATTCTAGAAGCTTCATGAGCACTTGAAGTTGTTGTCCAGTGCGCAGAAGAGGACCACATACATCTTTTAGAAAGCATGGTGCAGATACATGATTTGCTCCCTGTTGACAATAACACATCATAAACGGAATTCAAGTCTAGTTCAAAGTTAGTAAGATTAAGGCTCCATTCTTTTCTAAAGTTTGAGCTGGCTACATACCTAGATTATCATGGGCACGCTTCCCAAGCCGCTAAATGGTGAGATTTTTTTTTTTAAAAAAAAAAACTTCTCATGTATAAAATAAATCCATTTATCAACTTTGAAATATTAAAAACTTAATTAATCAATCTCTAATAAGCCACTTCATTACTTGTGCAGCTGATCAGCTCGGCTGAACATCCGAAACAAACAGAGCCTAAATGATAGATAGTATATGAACAGACAATGGGCCATATACTAGGACTTTGGTGTTAAACATAAATTCTGTTGATTAAGGAGGAAATTTTACACAAATCTTACCTTTAAGGACAACAGGGTGAAATTATCTACTGGGTCTGAAGAACCTCCTTGAGTTCGCTTATTCTTAGCTTGAGTTATGAGAAATTCCTCATAAGGATCATCAACAGAAGCTCGGTAAATCCAGGACTTGATGAAATTACAATATGGCTCACAAGAACGAACAAAAAGATATTTTAGAAGTCCATAGTGAACGGAATCGGCATCCTAAAGTTCAAGAGAAACAATATCAGGAATGTTTCAACATTTGGCATGAGCTATCTACAGAACAATGATATATGACTTATCCAAATTGAAAAATTCGTGACAGAGAAGCAAGACAATATTCATATCATTCTTGTCAAGTAAAGAATAGACTAGCATAAATAGCTGGCAGTATCTTTGAAAACTATTCTTGAATCAGGAGGTCTTCAGAGGCTCAGAGCTATATTATCAGAAGTGGAAATATAAGACAAGGGTGAAATCGTGAAAGAAACAGCTTTAAAGAGTTGATTTCCCCATCAGAACTCCCTTCTGAATCATAAAAACAAAAAAGCTTGAAAAAATAAGAAGTTTGCCTACCAGATTATATAATGGTATGTTTAGAAAGGACAACATCATATACACATGAATATATGTAATCTCAGCTACTGTACAGGTGGATACTGCCAGTATCAAAGAATATAAATATACTTGCAGTGAATCTGAAATACTCAGGTTAATTAACATATAAAAATCTATGACATCGTTAATAAGATATGCAAATCTAAGACATTAGCAAAAGTATAACTATAAAAGCCATCAAGTAGCAAAAGGTCAAGATATTCCTATAGAAGTTGTATGGTTAAAAATCATAAGATGATTGCTTACACGAAGATGGACATACAAATAGGAAAGCAAATCAGTGCTCCATGGGAAGTTCTCAAACCCCAAGTTAGAATCAGTTGTCAAACCCTCCTGGCACAACGAAAGACCTGCAAACTTCGGAAAGCATATATTTCCGAGGGACTTAATATGTCTTCTTAACTCCTCAGTGTGGAGATAAACTTCCAGAAGAGTGATTTCAGAATTAGAATTATAACTAGCTCCATCTGGGGTCATGGAAGGTATATCAGGTTGTCCCTCCAAACGCCTCAGCTTAATTGATGCTGGTAGAGTATTCAAGGAACAAAAATAACCTTCTAAAACCTTTTCAACTGCTGCAGCAAATGCTTGGTTCACTAAACTGTAAGGAGCAGGTTGTTCAGTTTCTTCGCTATCAGAAACTTCATGTTCATGTCCTTCTCTACCTCGACCATTCAATTCTCGACTTTGGAAAAGATAAAAATGCAGAAACTTGCACAGGAAGAGAACTGAAAGACCTGTAGTGCGTATAGATTTGAGAATATTCCCTACAGAGGTAGTACTGGATGAACGTGACCACACGTTTGCAACACGATGAGAAGTCCTATCAGCCGGACATGAGAAGAACAGCACAGAGAGCTCCTCAATCTCATCTAATGATGATTTGACACCATGCAGTGCATGCAAAGCCAAACGAACCAAAGAAGCATCCTGCAGAAGAAAGATGATCATCAGACTCATCACCAGTAGACAACTAGAGACAGTAAATAAAATGTCACAACTCAAGACTCAGCTTGTCATGATAAATGATGATCATTTCTCTGGTTAATCCCAACTACCTTTCTTCACATAATAAATCATCAGATCAACACGCTTACTTTAAAAAATCATGCAGATCTACTCAATTGGGTAGATCCCAAGACAAAGGGTACTTCTAATTTTTCACCATTTAGCTTTTTTTAGATAATTGAATGAATCCCGGCCTTTTCACCATTTAGCTACCACCCTACTGTCATTCCTAGCAACGAGTAGGATATTCCTGATGATCTCGTGCTACATTTCCTGCTAGTGATAAACACAATCAACAAACGCATCACAATTTGCATTTACAAGATACTCCATCCAAAGCATATCACACCTTACAGAAGTTGAAATGCAGCAAAAATCTCATTACTAGCTCAGCAATCTGAGCTCTACTCTGGCGAAAATGCTCAAAATAACACTGAATCGAAGTGCATTGGTGGGTAATTTTTCACTCACCGGAACCGATGCGAGCTCGTAGATCGGATCCCCCCGGAGCCGCCCTCCAGGGTTGGCGGTACGGGCGGCACCGCCAGCCTGGGTGACGGACTCCCAGGTTGCCGGCGGCGTCCACGGGCCGACCACTCGGAGGGTGGCGAGCAGCGACGAGAGGCTGGAGGCCGCGGCCTCCATCCGGGGAACGGTAGTCAGCTAGGGTTTAGACCTCCAATGTCAGGCCTTATTCCGAACGCAATGAGAGGAGGAGCGGTGTTGTGCTGGTTGCAGCGAGCGGCAGTGAGGTACGGATCGCCGGAGACGTGGTGGCTGGCTGGCTGGCTCCGGCGAGAGGGTGGGAGTGGGAGGGAGGTCGCCGTCGCCGTCACCGTCACCTGCCCGCGGTTTCGGAGAGAGCCGGCGGGAATTGAGCCGCGAGGGGAGCAGTCCGCAGGTGAGAGGGTGAGATCGATCGGACGGCTTCGGTGGTCTCGACCAACCGTCGGTTTGGGCTTTGTGGAATGGTGAACACAAACTATTTTCGGGCCAGGAAAAAGTGCACCGAAGGTCCCTCAACTTGTCAGCGAGATAAAAAACGTCCTCCAACCGCAAAACCAGATATACGGGGTCCCTTAACTATACAAAACCGGTCGCTCGAGGTCCTTCGGCAGTTTTGATCCTGACTTTAGTCTACGTGGCAGCTGAGTCAGCGTGGACCCCACGTGGGCCCCACGTGTCAGCCAACCACTCTCTCTCTCCCTTCTTCTCTCCCATCTCTCTCTCATTTATCTCCTCTCGGGCAAGCTGAGGCGGGTGGGGAGGAGGTTGCTGGGGCGGGCGGCGACGCGGCAGCGGCAGCACGAGGTGACGTGGCCGGCGACAAGGTGGCGGGAGCCGGGGCGGCGCCGCATCCACGATCGCCTATCGCTATTCTCCTGCCGTCACCCGGAACTCCGACATCGGCAAATTCTGACGACGCCCACTAGCTAGTCTGACCACTATGAGCAGACTCCCTCGGGATTCCACGAGGTAGCGAGCAAGGACCTGCTCTTCCTCCTCCTCCTTCTCCTCGTCATGGCGCCGGCGCCGGTGGCGCGTGCATCACGCTCCAGTACGTCTCCAACGTCATCATCCACAACATCCACGTCCACGACTGCGTCCCCGCCGGCAATGCGAACGTGCGCGCCTCGCCGACGCACTACGGGTAGCGCACCCGCTCCGACGGCGACGGCATCTCGCTCTACTCGGCGCGCGACGTGTGGGTGGACCACTACGCGCTGTCGTGGTGCGCCAACGGGCTCATCGACGCCATCATGGGGTCGACGGCGATCACCGTGTTGAACAGCTACTTCTCGCACCACAACGAGGTGATGCTGCTGGGGCACAACGACGAGTACCTGCCGGACTCGGCGATGCAGGTGACCATCGCGTTCAACCACTTCGGGATCCAGCTCGTGCAGCGGATGCCATTGTTTGCCGATGTTTGCCGTGTTCTTGGCTTGTTTTGCTTGTGAGTTGTGACAGCAGAAGAGGGGAAAAAATGTTTTGTGTGTGCGTGTGTTGGATTGGATTTCGTCTGTTTGTTTCTCATTGTGTTTCCCGCCGGCCGCGTCGCCTCGTGCTCCCGCCGCCGCCGCGCCGGCCGCGTCGCCTCGTGATGCCACCGCCGCCGCGGCGTCGCCGGCCGCGTCACCGGCCGTCCCGGCGACCTCCTCCCCACCCGCCCTGGCTTGCCCGAGAGGAGAGAAGTGAGAGAGAGATGGGAGAGAAGAGGGGAGAGAGAGTGGTTGGCTGACACGTGGGGCCCACATGGGTCCCACGCTGACTCAGCTGCCACGTAGACCAAAACCAGGATCAAAACCGCCGAAGGATCTCGGGTGACCGGTTTTATATAGTTAAAGGACCTCGCATATCTGGTTTTGCGGTTCGAGAATGTTTTTGTATCTCGCTGTGTTGACGAAAAAAATCGAACACACCGGCCTGGGAGATCTGCTTAGCTCCTGTACAGGTCCAAATCTTGATGAGATGCGTGCGTGCCAGTCAGTTTGATCCTACAACTGACAAGATATGCAAATAGTAGATCAAAACAGCCGATCGGCTGACAAGCCGATGGAGTAGTTCCAGCCGATAGCCGATAATAGCCGATGCCAATACCAGCCGATAGCGATAGGTTTAAGCAATCGGCTATATCTCCAATGTAGATAATGATATAAAGGCAATCGGCTGATGACGATGTAATAAAATAACAATATAATCCAGTATAAACCAATCAGCAAATAATGATATGATAAATAAGCATCGATCCGAAGGTTAAAGCACACATCGGCTGGAGGTCCGATGTCACGAAGTCCATAAGATTAGATTAAACAGTGAAACCTTTGTTGTCATCGGCTAAATCCAACTTATATGTATATGCAATCCTTATGAGCCGATGCAACGTCTAGATAACTCACCGGCTGAAACCCCGATGAAACCCTTATTGGCAATCAAGAAGCAGGCTAGAGATTATGGTTCTAAGCACGACTTAGTAAATCAAACTTAACTGATGCAGCACTAAGTATGAAAAGAAACATAATATCTAGACAATCAAGCCGTTGCCTGAGTTTTCAGGGTGGTAGATGCCTAGGCTAATCTAATCTAGCAACACGATTTAGCCGATACCGGTAGAAACCCTAAAGCGAGAAGCAGCCGATAGAGGTAAATTGATATGCTAAGACTAGATTAACAGAGACATATGATAAATAGGTAGGCAAATATATCATCCAAACCAGAGCAATCCAAGAGGTCGAATGTATTGATGTAGCCTTGAACAACGCCGACATAGACGATACAATTTCCTGGACCGACGGAACATTGGACTTACCCCTTAGCCGGAGATCGAACACTGATGCAGCCCCGCGTCAGGTGCCAAGTCCCGCAGGACGATAAAATAAAGTAGAAAAGGTAAAAGGTGGCGATGCGCCGAATTGTATTGATCGTGAAGATAGATTACATAGACCCCGGGTGTACATATTTATACCCATGGGTTGATACAAGTCCTTGTCAGAAAAGAAAGAAACTTTCCTAAATATAAAAGGAAAAGACAAAGTCCTTATAGGACACTAAACCCACTTTCCTAAAGATAAAAGGAAACTAACAAACTATTCCTAATTAATAGATAACTTGCCATGCCGCATTCTCTTTGAACTCGGTCTCTTCTGGATAAGCTTCCTTTAGTAGATCAATTTTCTTAACCGAATATAGCAAGAATCCGACAACTGAAGACTTGACAACTCTTATCGGCTAATCTCAGGACTTCGAAGCCGATGCTGACTCTAAGCCGATGACTACTCCGGGCTTACCAAATTTCACTGTTAACACGCTGATAAGTTGAGGGACCTTTGGTGCACTTTTTCCTTCGGGCCAACATCGGCCCAAACCGTTGTTCCAGTGGACCAAACCGTCCACGAGCCCATGTTAGGCTGTATTCTTGTTTTCCCAACTTATCTCTCTGGTTCTCTACGTGCACGTGTATTTTTTAAAACTTTTCTATAAGAAAGTTATTTTAAAAATTATATTAATCTATTATTAAAATTTTTAAACTAATACTTAATTAATTATATACTAATGAGTGGTATGTTATACGTGTCTTTGTAGGTGCCCAACCCCTCCTCCCAAACATAACCTTATAAATTGATTTCAGGGTCCAATCCTGGAACTTCTATTAGGCCACATCGCGTGTGGAGCTCCGGCCAGATTCTCGGCTGGAGAACGTGCCATGCATTTGCACATATCCTACACCCGTTAGGTGACATATCAAAGGTGAAAAAACGTTGGACAGACCTAAATGTAAAATGCAAGTTTTGACGGGTTTTTTTTTTGTCATCTGGAAAAGTCTAAAGTATTGGAGAAAAAACGCAAGAAAAAAAGGATTCATATCTCCCTACTCACCGTGTCGCCGCCCTACCTCAACCAACTAACCTTCTCTCGTGGAAGAAGGGCTAGCCCCACCATTGCCCGTTGTCGCCAATCATCGCCGCAGGTGACATGGAAGGGACAGAGGACTAGCTCCATCTCTGCCCAATGGCGCCGACGCCCACCAACTTCACCGGTGACAGAGGAAGGGATGAAGGACTAAACCCCATCTCCATCCAACGCAAACTCCCACCAAGTCCACCGTTGCCGCCAGTCCTCGTCGTCGGTGACGGAGGAAGGGACGGGGGACTACCCCCATCTCTGCTGCCCACCAAATCCGCCGATGATAAAAGGAAGGGATGGCCCTAGCCAACGTCATCGCCACCATTGCCCACCATGTACGCTGACGACACCGGTCCTTGCCGCCACTGGAGCTCCTAGATGACTGGCAACCACCTCCACTACCACCACCCTTAGCCACCACAGGCACCGCCGCCACCTCTGTTAGCATCACCACCACTTGCGCCGCTTACCAGATCCAGACGAGTCCCGTCGTGTTGCCCCATCCAAGAAGGGTAGGGAAGAGGAAACCCCGCCACCGGCCAACCATAGAGCGCCACCCCTCCAGCCAACACAAAGCAGTGTGGTATCGACCATAATTTGAAATACTGCAACTGGATCTGAAGAACCAAAATAGAAGGGGAGGAAAAAAGCGGAGAGGGAGAAGATGGAGAGGAAACAACGGGTGGGGATGGTGCCGCCACCGGCTCCACCGCTGGTGATAGCCTCACCAGCAGCGATAAGGTCGCTCGGTAGGAGATCCTTAGCAACGGAGTTTTTTGTCTCCCGGATCGCTTGGTGGGAGCGACACGGGAGTCGTTTTGCCTCCAAAGCGTTAAGTCTATACATAGGTACACAAAATATATACATATGTATAAACAATAGTGGACTAAGGGGAAGGATGCCCCCAATTAGTACTACCAGTCCATTAACCCAATCAAAGATTCCTATTATGGCATAATCTGAAAACCAAACATCTCAGACCATTTGCTTGAAACTGAGGCCATTCCCAACCCTCCATCTCAGCTAATATTCATAGCATTAAATATATTGTCACATAAGTAAAAATCTGATGTGACAAGAGAGTTAATAAGAAGAGAGGTAACAAAATAAAAAAAATCATTTCTCATGCAAGAAAGCATATCTACACCGAAATCAAGAATTAAAATAAGAAGATAGGTGAATAAAATGAGAGAGAAACGTGGTGATTGGATAAGAATTTAATTTGAAGACACCATTCATTAGATATATAGTTTCTATATATAATGTCTATGTAACATGGCAATTATAAAGTTTACTTGATAATTTACGGGTTGGGATTGGCCTAATAGCAAATGGCTAAAACTTATCCACAAATTTTGCTCAATGAGTGCAGCTGGCGATATTTGCTAGTAAAGTTGACACTGACAAAACTTTTTTGTCAGTCTGTTTATTGAGGACTTCATGTTGTTTTCCTGTGCTGTTTATGTCCTTAAATATGTTTTCAGCAAGCTGTAAGGCATTTATCAGTGGGACTAAAAAAAACTTTCTCAAATTCTCAGATGGACCGAATTAGAGATAAATAATCTCGTTCACGAGTCACGAACACGATCGTAAAGGCATTGCACCTGGCAAGCACCGGTGATAATCATATTATCTACCTACCTGCTGTTCCAATTTGGCGGGGTCTATTCGCCTACAAGGCTAAAACAATATAATTATACAACATGTTGCAGGTCTTAGACAAGACACCGGTTAAACATAGTATAATTCCATTACCGATCTGACCAAACCTTTTCCGTTTCTTGTTTCCAGGTGTGTACGTTGTCATCTTTACCCATATCTTCCATTTTACTCGGTGCAGAAACTCTGTCCTCCACTAGGACAATAAGCGGCTGGAAAGGACCAAGTTAACATTCTTTCTCTCTTTTTGGCTGACTCTTATCAGATCACTACAAAGTGCCTTTGCATTTTTCTTCTTATCTACTTAATCATGCTTACAACATCTTAAAAAAGAGGCACTCAGCAAGAATGTACGATGCCTTTCTCGCCCAGCTCATAGTCATACCAAGAAAATCTGGTAGCCTTTGTACTGTGATTAGAGAAAGAAAATGGTGCGTGCATGACGACCATATATGACAGGCCCTGAACTTTCTTTCCTGCTCCTATATGGGATCAGATCAAATAACATTCTGGTTATCTGGTATAATTAAAAATAACAACGCACTAACATGGATTTGACGCTATACGTGCCTACATTCATGGCATGAAAGCCACAATGCCGTATTGACAACTTTATGATAAGTGAGCTTTTTTATTCCCCATTTCTCCTTGATGCTATCTGCATGTGTCAACTTTTCCTCTGAACCAACAGTGATCAAGGTTTTACGGCGATTGCTTTTTTATTCCCCACTCTGACTCGGCCACTCGGACCGGTTGCCGCTTGGAAGTGGCATATGGTGCGGGAGTGACGAAACCCATCGAGAACCGGCTTAATCTGCCCGGTTCGATCGACTCGTTCGTTGGATTTTGACGTGAACCGGTTTAAACTTGTTCAATGTTCTTTGTTGTCCGAGCCGCAGCCGCAGCCGCTTCCGGTTCGACCGTGACGTGATCGCTCACGGTTTGCAGCTTGGCATCTGCTTCTGTTGTTGGCTTTTCGTCGTCGTCGTCGTCGTCGTCGTCAGCTGATCTGAACGCCGCGAGGGTGGCGAGCGTGTCGACGGCGTCCACGACGCCCTCGATCCTCGCCGACACCTCGATCAGCAGCGAGGTCACCGTGAGCAGCTGCACGGCGTCCATCAGCTGCTGCGCCGCGGCCGGCTCCCCGGCGGCGGCGGCCAGCTTGGACGGGAGCTCCCGCACCTCGCTCTGGAGCTCCTGAACGGCGGTGTTCATGTCCGCCACGGCGAAGTCGAGGCCCCGGGACGGCGTCGTCATCGCGGCGACGGAGCTCGAGGCCTCCCTGAGCACCGCCGCGCACCGCGTCGCCACCCTCGTGGACGCGCCGGCGAGGTGGCGATTGACGCCCTCGGGCGACTGGGCCTCCGCGGAGCGGATGCAGCCGCTCAGGGCCTCGACGCAGTACGCGCAGTGGCGCATGGCGGCGCCGACGGCCTTGTACTGTGCGTACGGGTGGCGGAAGCCGAACCTGCCGTGCGCGGGCTCCCACCGCGCCAGGTTCGCCTGCGCGTCCTCGGACGCCTTGGAGTTGAGCACGCACTTGTACCCCTCCGCCGCCGCAGCAGCCGCCGGCCGCCGCTTGTACTCCGGCCCCGCCGCCTCCTCCTCTCCCGCGACGAAGTAGCCCTCGACGCAGGCCTCGACGGCGCCGGCGAGCTTGTCCATGTTGCGGGCGGTGAGGCGGTGCAGCTCCTGCCCGGCCCACACGGGGCAGATGAGCAAGCAGACGGCGAGGCAGATGAAGATGCCGATGGCGATGGTGGAGACCCGCTGCTGCGCCATCGCCACCAGCGCGTCCACGCGGTACCCCGACACGGCCACCAGGCTGTACGTCAGGATGAAGATGGTCACCCCGTAGTCGAACCGCGCCTTCACCGTCGGTATGAACCGCGAGAACGTCGCCGCCGCGGCTGCACGTACGTAAATAAATAATCACGTTTCAGTTTCATTCAAATACTGTGGAATAATGCACGTACACGTCCGTACAAATACGCACAACGTCGACGTGTACGTTAGTACGTACACACACTGAGTTCGGTCGTCGTGGTATAGTGGTATACGTACCAAGAAGGAAAACCGAGCCGCTGCGGACGACCGGCTCGAGCTTGTCGCCGGACTTGCTCGCGATCCAGTGCACGCCGAGCGCGACCGCCCCGGCGCTCACCGTCGCCGTGGCCCGGTTGAACCCCTTGTACACACAGCCACCTGCAACGCATGCATGCGCATGCCACATTAGAAAATCCATCTACGTCTGCGACGACGTACGTGTGTGACGCGGACAGTCATATCGATCGATCGGTCACACACTTACCAACGGTGAACTCGAAGACGACGACGACGGTCATGACGGCCCACATGGCGGCGCCGCCGACGCCGTCGTAGAGGGGCCTGGTGTAGTAGAACACGGAGACGAGGGCGAGCGCGAGGCCGACCTTGACGCCGTGCACCGCCCTCCGGGGGTCGTCCGCGCCGATCTTCCAGACACGCCCGGCGAGGCCGGACGCCCTGCTCCCGAGCGCGGCGACGCAGGAAACCAGCTGCCACGCCCACACCACGGCGGCCCGCCGGCAGCGGCCGGCCTCGCGCTCCACCGTCACCGTCGCGCCCTCCGGCACCGTCACCCGCCACTCCGGCGCAGCACCGCCATTCGCCACCGCAGCCATGGATCGATATGATCGAGTACAACTACCGCGTTACTGCCCCTAGTTTAGCTCTTTGTGTTGCTCTGTATCAATTTTAACTTGTGGCAAATGACGATCAAGTGTACATAGTGGTGAGAGCTGATCAAGAGAGTGTAGAAGCGAGGAGACCAGCACGTTCCAAGAGAGGGGAATGAAAAAGATTGGTAATAAGCTGATGCTCCTGCTCTTGGCTTGGAACGGGACATGACAGTTCTATATATATAGACAGTTAGACACGAGAAGGCAGGAGAAATGCTTTTGGTTGGGGACTCTGACCAGATGTTAGGACACGATCGATAGCGTCAGCAAGGGCCGGCGGAAAATCGAAGCTTCGGAGTCCTGACCGGCCTTGCGCACAAGAGCTTCGTGCCAAAAAAAAAAAAACTGAGGCTTAACGATTGCATGCACAGGATCGTGGGAACATATTGAAAGATGGTCACTGTATTCCCATTCTGTTCGAAATCGAAGTAATTAAGGCGTGGATCTCGTGTGACTGGCTCGTCCATGGACGCAGGGTGAGGGTACAGTACTGTTTTAGTATTTCTTGTCAGCATTTCTTTGATGAGGAGGCTGAAATGCTGAATGTACCATTATTTGTTTGTTAAGTGATTGACTTTTTCTTATAATTCACATGTCTCTTTTTTTTCACGGGATATGTACGAACATTTGCCGATATAAAACAGTAATATCATAATGAAATAAAACATAGAAACATATCAGAATTAATCTAGGAAATAAAGCAAAGAAAACTAAAAATTGCAGTAGATTACTGACAAATAAGAAAAATATAAAGAGATAAAGAGCAAAATGTTATGAGAGCGGCGATTAGACCATTCTACTTATCATTTGAGTCCAACTCCACCTGGTAGTTTCTCTGAAGGATATGAACACCCCGTTCACCCCACACGGTATATATATCCAACTAGAAATAGGAGGTGAAGTGGAACATGGAACATGTAATCGAGTAGAACTCGGTCGTCGTACTGCCTTGTACGTGAACTAAGGCAGGGTATAAAGCCTTGACCGAATACTACCATCTAATAGTTTTGAAATGTAACTTCCAACACCGCATGTTCTAAGGCTGCGTTTTTTAGATGTTTGAAACGGTTAATTAGCCGCACATAAAACAAGAAATATGATTAGCATATGATTAATAGTATTAATGTTTAAAAAGCGATGAATATGTTTATTAGAATGTTTTAAACAACTTATATATAAAAAGTTTTCATGTAAAATGCACCGTTTAACAATTTAAAAACATGTTAACGAAAAAGAGTAGTAGCTAAGCTACAATAGCTGAAAAGAACGCAACCAAAATAGTTCTAAGGGGTTGGAGTATGTAACTGGATGGTTTTGCTCGAGTCTGTTGCATTTATGCCACCACCACCAATGCACTTCACTGAAGGAAGACACGTGTTACTTGCTTATTGATGGTTTGCCAACCAATTCAAGGTGTGGATAATTTACATGTACGCGTGCCGCATCCCCCGCATGTAGCATGTCAACCATTGTATGCCCGTTGGCCGTTGGTTAGGCGACTTCAGCTGCCACCATAGATGTCTAATACGGCTGCATAGATGTGGATACACTATTAAGCATATGGTGGAATGACGTACAATGATCTAGACCCATCATGACCAAAGCTTCATATGGCGAGCTAGCTGAAGATGGATGGTCACTCATCTAGTGCATTTATGGGTGGTAATGGGCCAGGGTTCATGAGCCCTTTCACAACCCATGCTAGCTAATGTTTTTAGCTAAAAAATCTATTAAATTTCAGTCCAACCCTTGTTAGACCCAACTCTCATATTTTGTAGGTCAAAAATTTAGATCCATTATCACCCCTAAGACTATATTCGATTAATCTCCGAGAGGGAGAGATTGGAGGGGATTTAATCCACACCTATTGTGGTGTGGAATTATTTCCCCTCAAACCCCTCCAATCCTCTTCAACCCCCTCCAAATCAAACAAGACCTAAGTGCATCAGACGATCCTCCTTATCTAAGCAAAGCACAACAGCCTCAATTAGGGGCAAGACAAGAAGGTATTGCAGTGAACGCTCCACGGATGTCACATGCCTATTGCCTGTTGGCCAGTGCTTCCACCACCGTCCATGTATAGCGAAATGCGGGGCGGCACAACATCTACCAACAGGGGGGCAACCAACCCAAGGGGTGGCGTGAAACCAAGCATCCAACCAAAAGAGCGTGTGGCGATGGTTACCGAGCTGCATGTCGTGGGTCGAGGCCGAGAACACTGCAACCGGGGTCATGCATGGTACAGAAGCTAGCTTAGTAAGAGTGACGGTCCTGCTGCAACCATAGCCGACGCATGCGCAATAGCACGATCTCGACGAATTACTTCTGAATAAAAGCCCAGCGGTTTGAGATTGTGGATGCCCTGACACCTAAGTGAGAAAGGTTAACAGTTAGACTTGCAGTACTAGTCCATAACTTTTCTGTAGCTAGTACAACTGATAGCGAAATTAATGTTTGCTCTAGTTAAACATCCTTCTCACACAGTAATGGCTAAGATATAGCTTGCCTGGTGTGGCAATTCTAGAGAGGCTGGAGAGAACGGAGCAGAAGAGACCGGAAACTCTAATACCATCCGTGCACCATATATGGTCTATGTGCCACCGTGCCAAGTCAAGAACAACGTATGCTTTCCCATGCAAGTCAATGGCCTTCTGTTTGATAATTGATATGTGTCCAATTTCACAAAAACGCAGCGCTTTTTCAGCGCGCGCGCGGCAGCAGCGCAGGACTACCATAGTACCATGGCACGATGGCATGGCTGGTAGCCTGGTACCGCGCCCAGTGCAGCACGGAATCACTGTTAGCTAGGGCTAGCTGCAGTTAATTACTAGTGGCATACTCCCTGCGGTCAAAAAGAAGCAACTTAATTCGTTGAAAACTTTGAACATGCGATGCCTCGTTTAACCATTAATTCGATCGATCTCTCGTAAAAGTTCAGCTAGGGAAGCACATATGTTCTATGTGTACCTCAAAAGGTAGCACATTTTATAGTCTAAATTTCTTTACCATGATTTTCTAATATAAATTCAGCACCAAATTTTACATATATTTTTTGCGAGGAAAATTTTACATATATAAAATACAATACTTTTAATTACCTTCATATGAAAGATAAAATTGCACCTTTTAAATATGAAGCTAGGACAACCTGACGCTGCTATAAAAAAAATGGGACTGTTTATATATCTGTTGATAGAAAATCCCACCTCCCATCTTTCAAATTTTGGATCATTGGATGTGCTTTAAGATTCGTGCAGAGGCATTAACCCTAGCTCTCCTCCTCCTGTTCCTCTCCTGTCGCGCGTATTTAGCCGCCACCCTCCCATCGCTATTCCTCCGCCCGATCCCCCGCCGCCACCGCCCCACCGCGCCGCCGCCCGTCTTGCCGTCTGGCCGGAGGGCATCAATGGCGCCGGCAAGACCCCCCACCCCTGGCTAGTCTCCTCCCCTTCCCCCTCCCCCTCCCCCCTCCCCCCTCCTTCCTCCTCGAGCCGTTGGCAGCGAGATGCCCCCCACTACAACAAAAACTTGCTATAGAGACACTCTTGTAGAGGCATTTTGAAATTGCTTCTAAGATCAGGAGTTTTATAGTGTAGAGACATTTTATAGAGGCACTTTAAAAATTGCCTAGAGAACTTTTACTCTAGAGACATTTTCAGGTCATTTTATTAGATTTTATCTTGTAAAGGTATTCTTTCGGCACTTCAAAATACGCCTGACATGTAAAGGCATTTTCTTGAGATATTTTTAACTATGTAGACACACTTCTTAGAATGATAATATGTAATAAAGGACTAAATATAAGTAATTAAAGACACAAACATACAAGTAATGACATGGAGTTGAGATAGTTAGTGCACTAAAGATAAAAATGATTTATTTAAGAGATCTTGAGTTCAAGGCTTTACAAAAGCAAGGGAACTGTTTTATTCTCCTTTTTATAAAATGTCTCTTCGTTTGTAGAGATGATTCACCGTAACACACTTATTAGACATTTTTTAAAATGCCTCTACAGTATTGTAAAGGCACTTGAAAAGAGCCTCTATAGTACTAGAAAAAATGTTTCTACTAAACATTTTTCTTGTAGTGCCCCACCACCAACGCCGGCCCACCGCCCTCCTCCAGCTCTGTGGCTCTGGCGCTACTGCCGGCGCCTCGTCGCCCGACCGATCCGCCACCCACAGCTGCGCTGCCACCTCCCCCGGCCATCCCTCTAAGCCGGCGAACTCCTCCCCTTACCCTTCGAGGAAATGGGCCACGACGGAACCCGTTTCCTCGAGTTTGTGGGTCGATCTCTTCTCCCCGGCCCATTTTCTCTCAGCCCATCTCTTCTCTCCCCTCCATCCTTGCCCGCACGTGCGAGGCACGTGCGCCGCTCGGGCGCTGAGTGAGAGAGAGAGAGAGAGAGCTCGCTCTCTCTTTCTTTCCTCCCTCTCTCTCTGCTCTCGCTCCCTCTCGTTGCCTCTCCCGCCGACGCCGCCCAAATCGTCGCGTCGTTGCTTCCCGCGCGCGCGCACGTGCCGTGGTGGCCGACCGGCCAGTCGCCGCCGCCGTCAGCACCTGCCGCACCTGAGCCCGCGTCTGCCGCCCTGTAGCCGCGCCCTTCCAAACCGCCCCACCGTCATCGCCATCGTCATCGACCCGGCCCCGCCACTCCACGCGCATGCTTCCAAGGAATGGAGGCAGATCTCCTCCTCCATCTGCCTCATCGCCCTCTCTCCCTCCTTCTTTTTCCAAAGTGGCAAGAGGCAAGCCTCCTTTCCCTCTTTCTTTTCTTCCTTTTCTTCCTCGCCGGCGTCATGATCTCTGTCGCCGTTTTGGCACAGCGAGCGCCGAGCACCAGCTCGCTCCCTGACCGCCCTAGGTCGGTTTCCAAACCGACATTGCCCTCCTATTAAACCAAGGCGCCCTTTCTTCCTTTCCCTCTCCCATTCGCTCTCGCTCCACCGTGCCATTGCCGCCCCCTCTGTCTCGCTTCCGCCGACCGCCACCGTCGCGTGTGCCGGAGGAGCCGGTGCGCGCTAAGACATGGAAGGGGACTCCGGGCGCTCGTCTTCTTCCTCTTCCCCGGCCGAGGCTGGAAAGATCACTCCCGTGCCGTCGGCCTCTTGTCACAGCGCTCGTCTCGTCTCGGTAGAACACCTCTCCCG